GGGGGGGGGGGGGGGGGGGGGGGGAGGGAGGGGAGGGGAGCAATACCCAACCCTACAAGCAGCTTCAATCAGCACCGGCCAACAAAGACCCTGGTAAGTGCAGTGAAGACATGATGAAATGTCACAAGGTTCTCAGTGAACATGACTAAGCCAAAGCAGCTTCCTTTTATTGCCATGGGCACTCAAGAAACCGGAAGCCTTTTTTCCCCTCACTGAATCCCTAAAAGAACCACAATCAGTATTCAGGCAATGAACTCTATAGCATTAATTAATACTCAGTGGTAAAAAAGTTATTTCCAAAGGATTATTCTACTCCCACAGATTAGAATAGGAAGGATTTAGGAGTCCACATGAACAGTCAACATGCAACCACTGGCAAGAAGATACCCTCATGGCATAAAATTTATTTATTTATTAAATGTGTATGCCACCCATCTCCCCCAGTGGGTGACTCTGGGCGGCTCACAACAAAATATAATGAAGACGCCTGTCACCGAACTTACTTTCTCCTGAAGGAACAGCAGTACATTGTGAGGGCCACTGTCTACTGCTGAGTCCAGTAAAGATGCAAGCTGAGCTTCAGTCACCACATGCCCCTCATGGGGAGCTGCCAAAGGGGACCACAAGGAGCTGTGCTCACAAGACAGAGGGGAAAAAAGAGTCAAAGGAGAAAAGCTACGCTTCTCTTTCACAGGAACTTTTATCTTTCTCTTACAATATCACAGACTTTTTCAGCCTGCTGTCTTCAGGTGTACTGGACTTCAACTCCCACAAATCCCAGACAGCACACTGGCTGGACGTTACAAAAAGTGAAGGCCAACATGTTTGGATGACACCAGTTTGGGGAATGATGTTGATGCAGATAGAACGCATGTGATTAAAATGAGCATTTCGCTCACCACAAGCCAACAGTAAAGCTCTATGAGTTTTTAGGTTCAATATTTGGCCACCTGTTCAGTTTCCATGAAGGTTGCATATCAACTGGGCTCAAGCCCATCTGTGATTCCATATCTGCTCAATGAGGAAATTGCTCTAGCTTGAGCTGCAGCAACTGTAAGATGAGAATAAGTGATAAAAGAGCAAAATAATACATTGTTTGCATCTCTTATCCACAGCCAAGTTTTATTTCAACAAATAAGTCTTTTGAGGGGAGAAGAGAATCTGATGCCAACCATTCCCACCGAATTTCCAAAATATGATTGCTCCTAAGTTTCTCAGAGTCACAAAAAAAGTTATTCAAGACTGTTGAAGTGGAGGAGTAAGTAGAAACCCCATCACATCATCTGTTTTCTTGCATTAGAAGCTACATCCATTTACTAACTGCAATTGGTCACAATACAATTATATCTCCCTAGGCAAGGACAACAACAGAACAAAGGGAAAAATAATCAAATGGGAGAAATGTGTTAAAAAAAAAGGAGAGCAAATTATGAGAGATGTAGCTTCTGGTGGATACACCAAAATGATAATTATGGAAAGAAAAAGGGAAAAAACCAATGTAGAATAATTGTCTTCTCTTATACCCCCAAAACTGGTGGAAATAAACTCTTCTAAGGGTATGGAATGTCCCTTTTCTATACCCTGTAACAGAGATGCAAAAAATCCTATAGCTCTTGAAAAGTCCTCCTGGAAGCACCAAACTTTATTGATTCCTTTGGGAAAAAAGCCATCTTATGTAAATCGAATACTCTGTCCGTGTAGTGTCAGAAATGTCACACTGGGAATCTTGGAACTAAGACGTAATTTGTAAATGACACTTTTGCCAAAGTCAGAATCTCATTGGTAGAAACTAATAATACTGTACTATAAAATACTATAAAATTAAGCTGTTCACTATCTCAGTTCCCTTTAACACAACATCTTTAAAACCATCTTTGCACCCTATTCTGACAACACACATTTCAAGATCTCTAATATCTGAAGCATACTGCAGATCAAAAAGCTACATTTCACAATATTCTTCCAGGTCCATATAGCAAAGGGGAATTTCTTATTATTCCCAGAAATAGTAAACCCCGCTTTGCACAGAGGTGACCAAAAATACACTAAGAGACCCGTTTCACTCACAATCAATAGCGAGAATAGCTAATGACTGAATAATCTGCGATCATGAGACAATCTCACACGTTTCCCAGAATTGCACATGCAGTATAACTGCAGCAAATCAGTGTTCAAGGGAGATACAAATGCATGCGTTTGCAGCTTGGTGGTTTACATCTCAGGGATAACGCGTTTAAAATATCCAGAGCCGAAAGGTGTGGAGAAAGGGAGCGACCCAGAGGAACAAAACAGAATAAAGGCTCGGCTGGCTGTCCACGCAAAGCAATCCCAAACACATCCCTTCGGCCACCTCGATCTCCCATGACTCTAGTCCCCATGAACTCAGCCACGCAGAATATTCCAGAGTCCCACATACCTGTGACTCGACCAAGCCAGCAAGGGCACCTGTCCCGTATGTGCGGCCACCAGCCCCAGGCTCAGCAGCAAAACCCCAAAAACCCGCTGCAACGCCATCTTCCTTCCTGTTCCCTTCGCGGACCGTTCTTCTCCTGCTTTCCCGGCCCGCTGCAACCAATCAGAACCCGGAAGGGCGCTACCGGGCTTGGGAAAATATCCAATTAGAGGTCGGGGCGGGACCTTCAAGAGCCAATGGACATCTCCTTCATGTTGTCCGCCACTTCCTTTCCCGGGATCGGAAATCTCTCCGCAGTTCGGCAAAACTCGATTTTGGCTGTTTAAGGGGATAGTCCCTTTGAAGCCGAGGGTGGCTCAGGGTGATTTTATAAATACGGCCGGCGGCACGGAAGTGGCTTCCACTCAAGGACTGTCTAGGGCTTCCTCCAGAGTAAAAGAGCGTAGACTTTGCAACGTGGTCCTGTTCCCAGGCAGGACCCGTCGCAGGATTTTTTACTCGTGAGGAAAGTGTCATTGCGTGTTAGGAGCCCCTGCCCTCGTTTCCAGGTTGGAAAAAGAAGGAGCTTTTGAAGGGAAATGAGAGGAAGCAGAGCGTAGCCTGTTCTCTTTTCTTAAATTTCACCCTGAGGCCGAGGAACGTGCCTTAAACGTATTCAGAGTACATCCTTCTGTATGTGGAGGATTTACATTGTGCAGAAAATTATATATTCGTGTATAGATAACAAGCGACCTATTTACGTTGATGTTTTGTCTATAGCCCCGAAGCCTTCAATCATTAACCACTGAGTGGATATAGTGGTTAAGAATCCTGGCATGAGTAGGGAGAGGTAGGTTTAAATTTCCCCTCGACCAAGAAACCCACTGAAAGATTTCGGTCTCATAACTATCTTGTGGCTTAACATATCTCAAAATATTGTTGTAATGGGAGGGTCCATGGAGGAAAGAAACCATCCAGAGTCACTCTGCAGTGAGATGGGTGGTGGCAAGTTTGAAATATAAATAAATAATTAAAGTTACTGAATCACTGAAGATGTTACCTAGCCGGGTAATGAAATGTTTGCAAGAAAACCACCAAGCTCAGAGAACCCCAAGGACTCCACAGTTCAACCCTGAGCTACACATATTCTCTTCTATTGGTAAATAAAGTTAGGATAGTAATGAATTAGCATCTGTGTTAGGACCTTTAAAAAACATTGAAATGTGCTGAATATTGGACATCTATTAACCATGCAGACTTTTCAAGGCCACCAGCTAGGCAGAGATACAGTAAGGTATCTCCCATCAACAGCAGTAGCCCAGAGATAGGAAGCATAGCTCTGCAGTTGCCACTAAGATTTTAATTACCGCTTTCTGGCACACATTGAAAGATACTCCTAAGAACTCATTTATTTTATGTATTTTATTTATTACATGTCTACTCTAGCAACCACTGATGATTTTTCATATACCGAACTTTTCTGAATGTAATATCCAGCCCAAACATCCTATTTTGCACATCCTATTGAAATGAATGGAGTTTGTACACAGATGGACAAGCTCTAGGTGGGTTGGGGGGGATGGTCTTTTTCTGCAGCCACCAAAAGCTTATGGGTTGGCTTATCAAGTAGTGAGCTGCAGTGTGAATAATCATAGATCAAAATGTGCTCTTCACCTTGTTATTCCCTTTTTTGATATAGTATGCTGAATTCCTGATACTGTACCTGCATTGCCTAATAATAGATTTACAAAATACTCCAGGCCTGATGTCTGTTATAAAAAGAAGAGGCTGCACTTGTAAATGGAATAACAGTAATTAACCAGTATGACAGAACCAAAGCCTTCAGCAGTCACTATAAAAAAACGGAGGGGGGATTTCCTTCCCACTGTCCCTAATTAACAAAGCATACAATCCAATAAGAATCCTCTTATGCAAATTCCGCCCATTATATTCAGAGGCCTTACCCCAAACAACTTTCCCTGGTAACTTGTCTCCTATAGGTCAGTTTTGCCTGTCTCCCATTCTATCGCTCTTAACACTACCTAAAACTTGCTTCTTAAGGTCTCTTTTCACTGGGCTATGTTTTTAGATAGGAAGCAGCAGTTACCCTTTATTATTGCTTTTAGCTCCCAGAAGCTATTCTTGCATTGCTACCTGAGTATCAGACAGGAAGAGACCACCTTCTTCTCACAGCGGGTATTTTCTCAGTACTGTATTCAATACTCCCTAGAGAAATACTATACTGATCTAACTCCATCTTTTGTGGTTTAACAGGGTCAAAGATTGAGTTTTTTAATTACATAGTATGTAAATTGACAGATCATTGTAACAGCACCTGTTACTGTTCAGGGTTTTATGAATAGCCATTGTTAATAGATACTTGTCAAAGTCTGTAGTTTTTGAATTTATTTTCCCCTGCCTTCAGTGTCTAAAATTCACTCCCTCTCCATAGCCATGGTAATTGTACTGTATGCTTCTAGTTCAGGATTACAGTCACACATCTGATGAAGTTTACTGTAATTCAAAAGAGTAAAAATCACCCAGTCACTCTGCAGTGAGATGGGCAGTGATAAATTTGATATATATTTATATATAAAAAGTTTATGCCAACTTGTTTTGTTTAAGAGCAGTGCCTTAATTATTTTTTAGCAAGCTATCTGCTCTACCAGTTGGCAAAGGGAAGGCCTTTTCCTAGGTACAGGGGACGCGGTGGCGCAGCGGCTTAATGACGCTGAAAGTTGCCGGCCAGAAATGGTCGACACTTCAGTGGTTCGAGCCCAGCTCCGCACAGCGGAGTGAGCTCCTGCTTCCTCCCCAGCTCCTGCCAACCCAGCAGCTCGAAAACTTACATGAGTAGATAAATGGGGACGGCACTTGCATGGAAAGATGGGACCAAGTTGCTGGTAACGCGGAAGCCGCGCACGCCTGAAAATGGTGCGAAGCAACGGAAACCCCGCCTCCTGTGCTTGCCAGCTCGGCTCTGCTCTAGGAAGGAGGCAATGGCAAACCACTTCCGAAACACCTTGCCTTGAAAACTGCAGGGACTCATCCAGGCAGTCGCCACAGAATCGGTAACAATTGAGTGCGGATAAAAAAAAAAGTAAAACATGTTCCTCCCTGAAGAAACCTGAATTATGTGCAGAAAGCCTTAGCCCCTGGCAGGTTACAGAACTTAGCCCAGGCTGCAACAGGTTTGAATCATTTATTGGAAGTTTCCAAGTATAAAACCATTTCTAAACCAATTTTCTACCCAAAAAAAAAAAGAAATTCACAAAATGTGCTATGTATTCCTCCGATGCTCATTGACCAAGGCAAGCCACATAAAGAGAGATCATTGCAAGAATACAATGGGGGCTGCCTTTCCCCTCCCCCATTTACTCCTTCTCCTGTTCTTGCATCACCAGTAGTTGCAAACATGGAGCCCCAGCACCACTAGGTTCTAGCAAGAGGAAACTACACATAGTAGCTGCTGCAAGTCCCTCCCTTTGGGAGGTAGACACCAAAGCAGTACGATGACAGCATGAGGGTCAACAAGGGCATGAGGAGCCTTCATCCAATCTTCTGCATGCGATGCCATTCCACTTGTGGTAGGGTATGGATAGCAGGTGAGAAATGAGAAAATTTAACTTAAAAGCTATGAGTTAAAAGAAGTCCGTGCAAAGACTACATTCCTTGCCACGGCCCAGAACTGCATAATCCATGTTTCAGTAACAGAGCCTCTGATGCTTAGTCTAGTCAACACTAGCCCTGTAGCTTGAAAGTCTGATGCAGTCTCTCAGCCTGTTCCTTTAGAGTCTGGATCTCCTCCTGAATGAAATCAGTCAGGGCTTTGCGCATCTCCATCTACAAGCAAAAAGAGCCACAATCAACAAAGCCATGCAAACATATTCATAATGATTGGGTCCACACACCGTGTTAAGTCATAAACAAGATTTTGGCTTTGGTTTGGCTGGCTACATACATTCTGCTGAGCCCGAACTAAACAGACTACATTATGGCTTAGTATAGGGTATGAATCCAGCTAATGCCTTGCCATATCGAAAGCCTGTTTTGCTAGAGCCACAGTGCATCACCTTTCCCAATTTGGTGCTTGCCAGATGCATAAATGGTACAAATCTAAGCATTCTCATTTAGCATGCTCATTGAATTTCCAAAAGTCTGATGTGAATCATACTAAGGAGGCCACCATAAAGTCAGCATTGGCAACCTCTTCAGTGACTGGCATAAGATTTAAAGAGAAATTTCAACTGTTTTTTTAAATGTAATTTCTTGAAGTTCTATGGATGCTGTTGTGGCTAAGTTTCCTGCAGACACCATGCAGTCAACCTCTGCCATACAATACTTGTCCGATCACTACCCCTGGAGTACAGCTTTCCCAGAACCTTCCCTCTGCACTCACCGCTGACTTGTTTTCTGCCCGCAGCCGCTCTAGCAATGGCCGGACACTGAATGGCTTCCCAATTAACACAGTGATTTTCTGTAAGGAAGAAAATACCCTGTAATGACATTTCTAATGAGGATTTCTGGATGCAGTGTGCTCCATTTTTACAATTTCCATGCTGATTGGAATCCATTTTCCCCTCCCCCATCCAGTTAAGCCCAAACCCCCTCACCTGTCCAGCTCGGGGCACGTAAGGGGGTGCATTGGGGAGTACATCATTCATTCCTAGGGAAATTGAAAGACAGAATAGTTATTTTTGATCCAAGACCTGGTCCTTGTAGAGATTCAAATGACAACATAAAACAGGATTCCTACATATTTACTTGTTGCCCAGAAAGGATCATTTTGGCTCAAAGAAGAACTTGCAGTTCTAAACCCCCAGTATTCCATGTTCCTAATGCAAATAGTTTACACAGATATATACTTCTATGCTCAGCTAATTGTGCAGAAGTTCTTAGAAGTTTTCTCGTAATGTTATTATCCTGTTCAAACAGAATCACTGCAAACCAGTTTCTCTCACCCTCACACAAAATGGCAATTACTGTGAACATTCTACATCAGGAGGTGGGATTATGCAGTCTTCTAGATTTTGTTGAAATCAGCTCCCAGAATTCCACCATGGCCATTGATTTCTGGGAACTTTAGCAATGCCTACACCCTATCCTATTCTCAGTAAAGTCTAGAGGCGTGGGACGGAGTCAAAATTGGCAAAATGGAAGATGGAG